CCTTAACCCACAGTGGCAAGCTTAAAAGTTAGTTGCTTTTTTTTCACCGTAGCCTCATATGTGTTGGAAACAAAGGAGTCAGTGGAGAAGATGAACTTCGTCCAGACAACTATATTTCCACTTACCCATGATAAACACAAAAAAGCTAGCTAGCTAGCAAGGGTATATTAGCAGCTAGCTAACCGTGGTTGAAGCTCAACCATCTCAAGTAACGTAACGCAGTGAAGGTGTCAAATGTGAAAAATAACTACTTAAACCTTGTGCATGCGAGGACTGAGGCAAACGTAGAAGACTGTGGAAAATGATACAAGTTTTACATGTGTGGGGTCGGTTGGACCCCATTTCGACATACAAGGTTAAGAGATTAACCCTGGTGTGTACCCTTTTCCACAGTCCTCTACGTTTGCCTCAAGGGTTAAATGGCCCTGCCACGTCAAAATTTAAGACCTGTGATGATTTAATTTAACACTAACTCACATCTTTTTGTGAACTAAGGCATTAATTCAAATGTTCTAAGACTTTTTAAGCATGCGCAGACACCCTGTTAAGTATCTGCATAGCTTTGTGTGTGATTAAGTTATGTTATTATTAAATCATTGCTGTGATATTTGAGTTGCAGTTGCGTTTCAAGAGTTGCGGTGCTCATGTTGTAGAATTTTTTCGACAAAATTCACAAAAATCCATGACGGCCGGGTGTGCGTGGATTGTTTTTCCATGGCGAAGTGCGTTCCTATGCCACTGAGGTGACAGCCAGAGTCCACTAAGCTATGTCAGTATCGGCAAACATCGCAAGTTAGATTGTTCCTGATGAACTTTCTGTAAACATCTTTACAAAGCTGAAATGAACCGGAGCAGTTTTTTCCTAAAGATTCAGGTGAACCCAAGTTGAACTAGAAGCACAGGCAGAATAACTATGAAAAAGAAGTCAATAAGGTAAGGCAAGGTATCTTACTTTACCTTAATTCTCGTCATACCTTCATTAGCTAAAATGAAGGTACGTTCTGAAGTGTGCTAGATATCTGTTGTGATTCCATCAAAAGTTTGACTAGAGTGCCACTTCAGTCACTCACAGCATGCCTCTAAAGACTCACAGGAGCTTTCCCGTTTAGAGAAGCGGAATATTCTGTAATAATAGATCAATCTTCATTTCTTACATCACTCACAAAAAGATGTGCATTTTTGGAAAAAACAAAACAAACAAATAAACTCAGAAAACTGCTGCTTATGGAGGATAAAAAAAAGGCAAAATCAAACATTTCGAGGATATCCCACGGAGTCTTCGCTTCAGGCCTTCTGATAGAGCGTTAAAAACCCCATCAATGAGTGTTATTCTTAACTCGTCCCCTATTTTGGATCAGAATTGTCTGCACTGGCATTCTGTCAACGTAACTTCAAACCATCTAGGTAAAGACCTGGAGGATTTGTGAATGCTTGTTGCGTTGTAGTAGCAATATTGGAACACCGGTCCACAAGCACTAGACTGACCCGTCCTTGTAGTTGATCACCATGTCCACCAGAGTGTTCAGTGTCTTGGTGAGCTCGGGTGGATTAGGAGGCAGCTTCTCAGCCGGTGGGCGTCCTCGCTTCCTTTTGACCTTTTCGCCTGTCTCTTGGCCCGCCTGCAGCTCTTTCTCTCCATGGTGATCACCTTTACGCTTCTTCAGGCTGATGTCTTCCTCCATGTCCTGCAGGGAGCCGTTCTTTTCTGCCTCAGGCTGGAGGAAGAGGAAGCAGTGGGTGGGAGCGTGGGGGGAACCTAGTAAACTCAGACAGACGCACAGGGATCAGGTGAGTTTGAAGGTTTGCACGGTTTGTTCTTTTATTGCAAACCGTGTCGTGTTCTGACAGTAGACGCCTCGAGTCTCGAAAGTCCTGTGGTGCTGATACCTACAGGACGTCAAAGCACAAGATTGAAGTCTGAAAATCTCAAAAAGTATACATTTTATTTGCTAACTGGAATTTTTTTGTTTGACTACAATTTAGAGAAGCGCTGACAAATGGTAACTGGATTTGACAGATTTTATGCCGATCAGCCACAACCTGGGACCTGGAAATCAAAAACTACAAATCGGATCTTTTTCTGATTAGTGACCGCATTTGTCCATTTGCATTATTAACAGATGGACAACCACACCTTTCAGTGTGGGTGTCGTTACTGAAGTGAGAAAAATTAGTTGCTTATTTTTAATATCAGGAAGCTCTTTTGAAGTGAATTCAGAGGAAGCAAAAAAAAAAAAAAAGCTGCTAGAAACTTTTAGAAAGGAAGTTGCATTGAAATCTCCACAGGGAACATACACGCACACAGCTAATAGCTGGTAATGCTAGCCAAGCTAATTATGCTAACTGGAAGCAAAAGATGCTGAAACCTGGTTAAAATACAGACCAAATTAATGTTTGTGTAAGAACAACTGCTCTCTCTCTCACACACAGTGTGACAGCACCTCTGGCTCCGTTATACTTGATCAGAGAAAGGTTTTTTAGAGATACCGGATAGTTACAATGAATGAATAAATGATTTAACAATCAGACAATTAAGTCATATATTTTTCCCTCTCAGATATTAACTTAGACAAAAAATATAGAGAGCCATAATCTATTTTATTAATGTTTAAGGGACAAAAGTAATAACTATTTTTTATATTAGCTTATTTGCATACATCTAAAACAGCTATTTAGACCAGAGGCTATTTTAAACACTGTCCATTTTTATGCTACACATTAGAAATATTGTCAGATTATCCAGATAGTAAAATAAGTATACATACTGAATTTTGTTTTCTTTTTCAAGAGAAATTGGATTTCACTCAACTTGTCTGCAGGCACAAGCTTTAACAAGAAAAAAAAATCAAAAATGGTAAATTGCTCACGAAATCTCTGACCTACTAATATCCTTAGATATTAAAAACGAAACATATTATTTATTCATTCATTTCTGAATTTGCAGGAAATGCCTTGCGGCGCCTTTGCAGATTTAGAGCACGTTATTTGGTCCAGAGTATATTGATGTCAAATTATTAATATTCAACATGCGATGTGAATGAATGCGGAACAGCTCAGCTACTCTACATTCTAGTAAGCCACAACGCAAATAAAAAATAATCTCAGTCACTCTGCTGGTTTGCTCTCTGCAGAATGGCACCAAAAAAAAGTGAATTACAGCGTGTTTCTGCATCTTTCTTCACCAATATATGCCGCAGCCTCTGTTTCTCCAACAAAAGCAAATTAGATGCCAGAAAACACGAGGATCCGTGCAGCAGCAGCAGCGAAGGCACGCAGACCCAGACTATAATCCAACCAGAATACTGATGCATCAGACAGGATCACACATCTGCTTTCAAATAAAGAGCGAGCAGCACACATGTGGCGACGTGTTTTCTCAAGGACAGAGATTGGGATCGAGCTGGGACGCGGGGAGGTTTATTTGCGCGCATGTTAGTCAAAGAGGAAGAGGAGACGCGTCCAGAAAACAGAAGAGAGAAAGAAAAGGAAAATCAACAATCGCTGAGACAGTAAAGCGCGGAGACATGGCAGATAGGAGAAGTGAGTTAGAGGTGACAACAACAACGACGACGACGAGAGCTGCGCCAATCTGAAATCCCGCTCATCATCATCATTGCTCGGTTGAGACGCCTAGAAGCGGTCGCCCCAGCAGCATACTGGAGGGGAAATATAGAGTGGGGGGGAGGGGTGTAGGAACAAGGGGAAGGGGGGCAAGGGGTAATCCTGAAAGATGCACAGCCCAACTGAGAGCCGCCTGCATGCGTGTGCCTTCTCCTAACCAGCCTGCCTCTTCCCTGACTAATCTGGCAAAGATTCCCCTCTCATCTGTTACACACACCTACACACTCCCTCTTTTCTCCCTGACACACACAGGCATACACACATATGCGCGCGCACGCACAGGCACAGGCAGCAATATAAACTCAGACGCCCGCTCTCTCTCTCAAGCGCGCGCACTCACACTCTCACTCTCTCTCTCTCTCACACACACACACACACACACTTTTTTTTTCTTTTCTTTTTTTTTCATATCCATCTCTTCCTCCCTTCCCCATGCGATGTAGCCTGGCTGAATCCGGAGCCCGAGGAGACAGAAAGACATGGAGGAGGATATTTACCTGAGTGCAGTCTGCAAGGCTGGCTATCGGGATCGGCTGCAGCTGTGGGGGGAAGAGAATTAGCAAAGCAGCATAGCGGCGTGCTGCTAGTCTCTTCATCAGCTGATCACTCAGAAAGCGGAGCCCAGAAGGGGGGAGAATAAAAGCGCTATGTTTTTCATACACAAATCAATGGGGCTGGGTATTAAAAAAAAAAAAAAAAAAAAAAAAAAAAAAAGAAAAAAAAAGGGAAAAAAAATATTTAATTCCCACCCCCCTTCT